GGGAAAAATACTTCAGGAACCAAGGCCACTGAAAGTGGACTGGCACTATTGCACTCTATTAGGATGCTAACCTTTGAGCCAGCTACCTATATAGGCAGTAGACAGCAAGGCAGCTCAATAGGTTTTGGAACAGAGCCAATATTTCAGCACTTGGACAAGAAGAGTAACTGCCTACAAAAACAGCCATATTGTGAAGGCCCAACTGGATGGGTTTCGTCTCGCTCTCTGTTTAGGGGGTAAAGGTATTGGGGTTTGGACCCTGTGTTCTCCTTACAATTCCCATCATTCACTCCCCACTCTGCATGACAGCCCATCCATCACACTTACTGACAACAGTTCAGCCAGCAACACCGCCTACACCGCCTCGTGGAGAATGCGGCTCTGGAGAGCACGTCTCGAGTGCGTCTCTATTTATGAGGTCGTGTTAGGCTGTGTACACTTGGGAAGTAGTGTGTGTGTACACTTGGGAAGAAGTATATCGGTGTGTATCCAACACAATTGCTGGGGAAGGTAACAGGAAGGCGGCGAATTGGCATAAGCAGCACTCGGCTACATTACAGACTGCAACCCAATAAGAATGACGAACAAGGTTGGCACGTACACTTGAAAGTGGCCCAAACAGAGTGTTGTATGCTTGCTTCCTCACGTCTTATGGCTTTCCTCTCTTAAATATTAAGGTCCATCAATGGCAGATATACAAGTAGCCATTAAGTAGGAAATTATTTTACTTATTAAAGGGAGCTTAGCGGGTCAGGGGCTACAATGACCAATTATTACTCTCTGAAAATGCATAATACCTCATCTACATATTTATTATGGCCTATAACCCCAATCTTCAACTGATGACTTAAAGGATATTGTGTGCGTATATTTATCTGTATGTACAATATAAAACAGCATCATGACTACAGAGTGTACATTATTCGTGGGGCTGCGTTTGGTCCGCCTCTTTGTGCCAGAGCGCTCTCTCTCCCTCCGCTGATGGGGGCTGTTTTACACATGGCTTGCTTTTTTTTTTTTTTTTTTTAAGGACAAAAGCAATCTCGGGGGATGAATTCACTGTGAAGGCACACAAAACAGGCTACTGGTCCATTTCAAATTTCACAAATGCACCAAGCAAGATCTTCCCAGGGGCTTCGAGACAATGGAGAGGGTTTTGACAGCGCTTGGTGGAGGCTTGGCACAAAGAGCTAGCCATCTTGAGACAGCTTGTTGTTAGAGGGTCCTAGGAGAGTCCTGGGACGGTACCATGGTGCATACATGAACTAGAAGGAGAGTACCGCAAATGCGCACACACGCACTAGTTTCACACACGCTCTGAACATAAGTCCCTGTTATGGCATTCCCTTTCATTTACTTGTTCACAGAACTGTGAGATTACAGTCCAAAGTTACTTGTGCCTCATATGCTATTATGAAGTACCGCTGGGTATTCTAGAAAAGAAGGAAAAAATTAATAAAAACCAAAACTATCTTCGACTTATACACATTCATAGTATTCGTGACAGGTTTTGGTTTCAGTATCATTGGAAATACAGCTGTAACAAATATACCGCGGTCGGTATGTAATACAAACTTAAGTCCATGAAACGCTGAGGATGACATCCGAAACCAGACCGCAGACTTTCTGTCAAGGACGTACAGTACACTCCATGTATATACACAGATTTAACTGCAAAAATTCATAGCAGTGTGTAGAGAGCAGTTGACACACAGGGGGAATTCACTAAGGATCAATTGCACCCGCCAATGGCATTGTCGATTTCCAGACGTCGTGTTTTTAACACCCAGTTCACGAATTGTGCAAATCACTGGCTGTGACACTGGCTGCGTTCTGCGTTCTGAGTGCTAGATTGTGAAGGATACAGCAGATTACTGCAATCTGGTGTACTTTACTGAGAATGTACATACAGCAATGCAAGGCACCTGAAACGGTGATTAAAGTGCGCTTGACTGCATGACACATTGGGATATCATTTGATAGTCAACTTCAGACATTCTACTAAGTAACTTTGCACTACATGACAACTAATTCTCATTAGAGTATTAGTAGACTGTTAGGTTAGGATTAGGGTTAATAGAATAAGTTGACGAACTTGAAAACTTACAATCAGTTGAATGTCTGTTGGGAACCATCACAATGAAGTTTTAGCAGATATTAAAGGGGTCATATGATGCTGCTAAAAAGAACATTATTTTTGTATTTGGTGTAATAAATGTGTTTATGCGGTTTAAAGTAAAAAAAACACATTATTTTCCACATACTGTACATTATTGTTTCTCCTCTATGCCCCGCCTTTTTGAAACGCGTCGATTTTTACAAAGCTCATCGGTCTGAAAAAGCGAGGTGTGCTGTGATTGGCCAGCTATCCAATGCATTGTGATTGGCCGAATACCTCAAGCGGGAGACGGAAATGTTACGCCCCTCACATACTGTTGATGCCGTGTCCCGGCCGGAGCGACGAGACAAAAACATGAAAACCCATTACAAACGAGGCATTTGTTGCATCCAGTGGGGACATAATTACTGATTATAATGACTTATACTGTCATTTTACGCGTTGCGTTGCATTGCGTAAACATAAA